ATCTGTTTTTAACAGAAAACACACCCAATGTTGGAGAAAATGGATACTGAGCTGGATTAATGTCTTCTCCTCCCTCCTAAAAACACATAAACATCTAGCTGGAACTCCCTTCCAGGATAACTCCATGCCAGAACACCAAAAAACCAAGCCAACTGTAACCATCACGTTTCAGGAGAGTCCCAGGGCTCTGGTGGTTTTTCCATAATCTCTCCCAACACTATAGATTGTAAGAACTTGTTGATTGAGCAATTATTTACTGAATATGTGCTTGATGGTTGAACCCTTGGGCTGTGAGAATGAATCAAGATACATGTCCTCCTCTTACAGAGACCGTAGACCAAAAGGAATTCAAAGGAAGTGACTAGGGTGATAGGTGCCAACACAAGGGAAGCCCAAAATAATGTCAGCTAACCCAGTCCCAGGAAGCCACCAATCCTTTCAGGAAGGGTGTTCATATGGTGGCAGAAGGCTCCTGAGAGAAGGCCAGAGTGTTTCATCTTTCTCTTTAGTCAGCTCTTCCAAGCAGTCATTTTCTATTAGTTACCTCCTGTGAACCAGCATCTTTGACAGCTTGGATCATACTCTCTCATATGGACATATACTTCCTTAACTGGCCATACACTGTCCTGTTACCTTTGGCTGCTCACAACAAATATTTGCATTCCTCCAGAACTAGTTCTGGAGTTTAGTAAGCAGTACATGAGGAAGAGCATTCCATGATCGAGCAGTGCACCTGGGAAGCCTTGGTTTAAGAAAACTGCTCAGGATTTTTTTTTTTTAACTGACTTTTTGAAGCCGTACTTACACTGCTCTGCACTTGACTGCCCACAAGGCTGTTGCTGTGGCACCTTCACTAAACCTCAGGACTGGTGACCACAGAACAGTTTGATGAGAAACGAACCTGTCAGCAAAATCTCGGCCTGGTTTTAACACATAGTTCAGAAATTGAATTATCAAATTAACAGGAATGAGTGTGTCCTTGGTATGCTCTACCAAATACCTTTCCTAAAGGCTAACACATTCCTGGTGGGAACAGTAAGTATCTGTTCCACCATACCTTCCCTCCAACTGTGATTGTGAACCTTTAAAATCTGATCTTATTTGGTAGTGTTTTTATGGCTACAGAGAGTGGTGTTACTGATTACTTCCTGCTGCTTTTATGTATACTTCTTCAGGACTTATGTCTTTCTATTAGGATTTCATCCATTCAGGTAAATGGGCTATTTTCATGATTAAGTATTAACACAGACTTTCATTCTTCAACTTTCTTGTTTATCATTTACTTTTAAGTTATATTTTCCTTAAACATGGAAGTTCTGTATTTTTATGAACTGGGTCCTTTTAGTTTAGTTTTGTTTTGTTTTGTTATCTCTTTTTCTCACAAATTTTAAGCTTAGAAATCCCCTATATAAAACTTTATCTAGACACTTAGTATCTTGGTGTTTTGTTGTGTGGTTGTTTTATTTTTGTTGTAGTGCTGGGGATCAAATCCAGGGCCTTATGCATGCTAAGCAAGTATTCTACCACTGAACTGTACCCCCTGCTCCAAATCTAGGTTGGGGGACAGGGAGTTCTTTGTTGTTGCTAACATTAAGTCTTAAGCCCTTTGGAATGTGTATTTCATTCTCTTACTGAACTCCCAATAAAATAAATAAATAACCAAGTTTTGCAGCACTGTTTTCTGAAAATTTTTCCTTCCCAGATTAGTATATAATTTCTATGGAAAAAAAAATTATCTCCATTTTGTAAGTTAGGAGATTGAAATAAATGGCATCTTACTTGTGGTCAGTTATTTCCAGCTATACTTCAGCATTGCATTTCAAAATAATAGATGAGACAATCCTATATTATGATATTATTCTCATGAAAACCATGAAATTAATAAATGGATTTAAACTTAATTTGATATTGTGATAAAAATTTTCCTTCCTCAAAGCTGATAGGACAGATCACTAGAATGAAGAAAGATAAAATGATTAAAAAACACAAAAATTACAATGAAGACCAGAAAATTCATTTAATAGTGTTAGTAATTCACATAGCCACATTATTGAGTTTATTATAACATCTACCTTATAGCTGAGGAACCTGAGACTGAGAAGTTTCTTTCCCCAGAGTCTTGGTAGCGACAGAGACTGAGGCAGGACAATTTCAGGGTTGTTTATCACCAGACCTGCTCCAACTGGGGTCCACAGGTATAGCTTAGGGTTCCTCAAAGGGTATTCTCTTTTTAAAAGGCATCTGTAGGAAGAGTCAGTGCACCTGTCTGATGTTCCTAGTGTCAAAATAGACACAAACTGTGTCACTGGAAGGTCCTGGACAGGCAGCAGGTTTGAATTCCTTTCTATATGACTGAACTTGAACATACTGAGAGTGTTTCTCTCTGGTGCAGAACTGTAGGTGCCAATGCTAATAGGTCACCCTGCTGTGGGTCACAAGCTAGGCCCCTCTCCTCTGGTCACGCCCCTTAGCTTGATCAATTGCAGGATAAGCTCATATTTCTTCAAACCTTTTTTCTCTACAAGCTCACATGGAAATTCTAGAACAATTCCCCTGCCACAATCACATTTTCAGTAAGTGCTGGTTTATTCTGAAGGCTTCGTGGTCCCATTTGGAGCCAGTGTCCTCTACAGAGACAAGCAGTTGCTTGTTCCCTGTGCAGGGCCAGGCCTTCCAGTTTTCCACCTTTGCAGTCCCACTCTGCTGATTCCTTCCCAAGCCTCCCACTTTCCCCTGGACCCACTTTTGTGGCAGATCCCCTTCGGTTTCACAGGGCCTCAAGAAAGGGCAGTGGGGGCCACTTGGCACTGCCCACCAATCTCCCACATTCAGGGTGATTTGCAAACAGCTCCTGGAGGGAGCCTGTGCCTGGCCCCTAACAGGCTGCTCCTGTTACTCTATTGTCTGTAGAGCATTTGCCTTTTCCCAGCTGACCTGCCTGTGAGTGAGGAGATGTGAAAAGTTAGAGACAAAACTGGTTTCTGCAGAGTGAGAGGGGCTTTCTTGTACAGAAAGGAAGGAAATACCTCTGTGGGATTTAATTTTTTTTCGCCCTCTTCATCCAAAAAATACAAAGAGACTCTCTGTCTTAAATGCAAGTGTCGGCTTTAAATCTTTTAGGTTTGGATTAACTCTGCAAAAGAAAAAAAAAAATCTGACAGGCTTTCAGATATGACGCAGAAAAACTTTTTTCCTCTCAATTCATGTTGTTCATTTGTAAAGCCAAAGGCTGGTGGGCTGAATAGTGGGCACCAGTTGCCTCTGCATTCATCGTTAGCATCACAATGGTCAGCATTAGCAGCCTCCAGTTTCTCCACCATGTTGGCTTTTTCCACCAGGGGACATTTAATACAAGGTGCTGAAGGCAAGAATCAATCTTTTTTCTCTTGCATTCCCCCACATTAAAATACTAAAAATAAGCCAGGAAAACATGGCGTTTTTGGTTATACAACTTAGAATCTTACCTTTTCCCCCAAAAGGGGCAGGGTGGGGGGAAAGGTGGCTTTTTATAGCTATTACCTTACTAGAAAGCTCCCTTTAATCTAAACAAAACCCACTGACTTGATAGACATTTCCTGTTACATACTTGTCAGTTTTCACTATTGAGGATGTCAGCAAACATGTCCAGACTTATGTTTTGCTTATGAATTCAAATGACTTTTATGTGACTGTATCACCTTGCTAGTGTCTAGCATTGTGGGTGCAATTCGATGTGACAAATTTCATTTTCTGAAATTTTTTTGAATGGGGTGTTTTATTTTAAATGTGTTCAGAGCTGTTCAATCTTACATTACAAAAAACCTTAGCATCTTTGAACCATGGTCTATACCAATAAGCCTATGTTAATGCAAGAAAAAAATTTAGGAAGTTCCTGGTCCTCAGTGGTGTTGAAATGAATAGGTAATCTGAAACATTTAAAATTAGTCCTCTTTCTATTTGATTGATTGATTAGGACTGTGTGTAACTGCCTAGAAGAATTAAACTAACTCATTTTTAATTCCTGAATTCTGATAAAAGAAAAATTCTTATAGGATTATAGCAAAATGTAGATGTACATATGTATATTGACTACTTTTTAATGAAATTTTATGGATTTAAACAGGTACTGCAGATTTCCTCTTGGTAAACAGACTCAAAGAAATCAAATTTTCCTTTGGTTTTATTGTACAGAATTATTGTTTTTAAACACTGTGATCTAATTCTATAAAGATATTTTTATTATAATGGCAAACCATCTAATGGAATTTATTTACTTTTTTAATCACAGCATAAATTTCTTTATAACCTGAAAGTCTCTGATATATTAATTTGGGATTTAATACAAATGAATTATTAAAGTTGTTAATACATTTTTATTTGGATTTTACATATGAGATATTTGGTTCAACTTTAACAAAAACCCATACAAGTTACATAATCATTGAACAAAAATTAAGATTATTCCTACCCAATTGCCACAATCAATCAAATTTTTAATTTTAGACATATCTTAATTTGATTATACCATAATCCTGATTTACCTGGATGATTGTTTTAATATCCTACAATGTTATAAAAAAGTTAATTTTCATTGCCAGAATTAGTAAATTCAGTTTCTAACTGGGATTTATTTCATATGCCATACTATTATAATTTCATCCAGAGTGTATTTTAAGTTTCCTTGGAAAACTTGATATTGATATTCTAAGTTATAAAATAAGATCAAGGTTTACTACTTCATATATTGAACACAATAATAAAAAATTTAATATTTATATGCAAAGATGGTACATGATTTAAAAAAAAATGGTCTATTAGCTACTTGAGAGAAAAGGTAAATGCAGTATTTTAATACACTTGATTTTTGATCTCAAGTATTTTACAAGTTTGAGGTTAAAGTTATTGAAGATCCTTTTTCAGAATGATATGTTTATTTTGCTTATGTAAAAACTAACCATGAATGGTTAGTGAATGTATTTCTCAGTTGTTAAAGTATTCTTATTTCTGGTGGTTTATAACAGGCAGCCATGTTGTTCAGTTCCGGGGTCTTTTGGATGGGCTTATTATTTATCCCTGTGGCATCTTTGCTTCTGGATGTGGCATACAAAGTGTAAGTATATACCCAAAAATAAAGATGCATGTTAATCCTCAGATATTGCTAGTTATAACATCAACTCAGGCAATTAAAACTTGCAGAACAGAAACTAATAGTATTTATTAATTTTAAATAAATAAGAAGAAAGGCATAATTTGGGAACTAGAAAAGTAAATTAATTTAAAAGACCAAATGAGAAGTAAAGGTACTTTCAGTGAATGTCAGACAAATGTGCATTGAAGAAAATTGCATTAGAGATAAGTACAGTTTTTAGAAATCAGCCCCAAAGCCCATACAAGATGGAAGAAAAAAATTCTGTCTCAAAACACATTTTTCAATAGCCATGAAAAAAAATTCCCGATTCTAAACATCTATAAAACATAAAATGGATGAAACAAAACTATAGATTTTTCTCAAGGATTGCAAGTTTCAAAATGTTGTATCTTTCCACAGAAAAAGTTATTAAGGTTAATTCCATGATATTTAATAATTATAAGTTTTAATATTCTAAACCTAATTGTTTATTTAAGACGATTCCTTTAATTTTATCAATGCACAAAATTACTTATTTTTTTTAGATTCTTAAAAAAACTGCTTGGACTCTGGTTACTATTATACTTACCAGCAGCCTGACAATAAGCTGTATGTTAGTTTTGCCAAGTCATCACAAGATTGTTTCCATGCAAATCCTTTTTTCCCCTCGCCAGCATCAAGAGGACTGCCTTTAAAACATTGGTAGATGAAGTTCAGGAGCTTGAGGCAAAATCTCAAGACCCGGGAGCAGTTGTGCTTGGGAAAAGGTGAGATACACAATGACTATGTTCTTTTCCAAGTGAACTTTACATTTCAGCTTGTACCAGTCACTGTAACAAGAGGTAAAACTTGCTTTTATCATGTAGCATGGAGCTGATGGTGTTAGCTGAAAGATTTTGGAATCGGGAGTGGATTCAAGTCAAATTTATCACTTCCTAAATTAAGTGTGACCTTAGCCAAGTTGCCTAATGCTACTGAGCCTCAGTTTTCTCATCAATAAAATGGGGGTGATGATGCCTATCAAAAAGGGGTGGGAGAATTGAATAAAATACTGTCAAGCACATGGCTTAGTGCCCTATGCTTCATGAGCAGGAGGTATATGGTAGTTGCAAATATTCTTGTGTTATTAAAGTGAAAGGAAGAAAAAGACTTTTAGCTTGAAACAATGTTGATAAATTTTAAAAGTATATAATCATAGTTCAGCATAGGAAAAAACTGTCCTATAATTATATCCATGGTTCAATATGTTATTAAGAACTTGCCTAAATATATGTCATCTGTGAAGTTATGCCTTCCGAACTCTTTTACATACCACCACCATTCCCCCCAAAAAAATCATTCACTTAATTAACAAAGAATTACTAAAAAGAAAATTAGTTAAGGCCATCTGTAAGAAAGCACAATTTATAAAGATAGTCCTAGTAGTTTATTTTTGCCCTCATCCTATGAAACTGTGCGAAGATTTTGTACAAATGTTTTACCCAAGATATGTTTTACTCTGGTATGTGACACTTTAATCATGATTCAGCTTTTCTACTTGGTTCAACACAATGGGGTAGGTGGCAGAGGGTTCTCATTTCCTCTGTGAGGCCAAAGCGACCTGACATTTGATGGGAGAGCCCTCACCACTTGCTGTGCGTGCACCTGTGTCTCGTGGAATCCCTGCAAAGATGCTGTGTGAGTGGGTCATCTCCATCCTTTTTCCAAATGAGGAAACTGGGCTTGGAGAGACTGAGTTCCCAAGGCTATCAGTGGCAGAGCTGGATCTCAAGTCCCTAACAGTTGATTGCAGAATTCCTGCTCCAAATCGTGATTCTGCTTTTTGGCTAATTATTCAAGAATGTGGGACAGCAGCAAGAACAACCCGCCAGAACCTGGCAAAGTGTGAGCCTCTTACGTTGGTGTCCTGTGCATAGATGGGAACTGTAGTACTAACCTCCAAGGTCACGGGTGCCTTCCTCCCTCCACCTTCCCCTTCATCTGAAACTGCATCACAGGGTTCTTCATACAAAAGCACCTATTCCATGGCTTGGGAACAACAGTCCCTCAGCAACTGTTTTCTTTTTCACTTTCTAGCAGTGAAGGGGTATGATAAGCATTCTAGCTCACAAAATTGTGAATCAAGCCATTTAGTAACAATTATTAGGGATAGGCCACCCTTGAAGTAAATTTCTCATATCTGTAAGTATGTTAACAAAATTTATACAAAGCCCCTAACCATGATGCTTAATTTGCCTGATGCAAACTAATAAGACCAGTCACTGATACATCAGTGTCTTTGACAGCTCAGTCTAAAGATGCAGTGAGTCTGTGATGTTACTCCTTCCATTAAATAAATCAGTGTGTCTGAAAAAAAGGAAGGAAAGGAATTCTACCATAAATAACCACCAACTTCACTTTAGAAAATGCAAAAGGTAAATTGCCCTGCTGCAGTTCAGCTCACTTGCCTAAAATAGCTATTCAGCTTTTCTCCAAAATTCAGGAATGAGTTAGCTGAATTAGCTGAATACCACAAACCCCTGGCACAGCATGGACTCATCATTCCCGTTGCTGCATGCTGATGACCAGAAGTTTGATGATCAGCATAAGCATGGTGGCCTCCTGGTAGAGAACAGCTAGAACTAAGTACTAAACCAGTGACATTCTAATGCAGTGAAAGAATTGTTAGGTTGATTTTACCTCCATTGTTATTTTAGGAAGCTTGGAAAATGAAATTGATGTCATATTTCAAAAAGTTAGCAAATGTTATCTTCATTGTCAGAGGGGAGAAATTGATATTTCTGTATATTCTAGCAATATCACATATCCTTTAATTATAAAACACCTTGCCTCCCCCGCTTAGCACCTGCTGTTTCCTTGTCTGAGGGCCAAAAGCCCTGTTACAAACTAGGCACTCTTAATTCCTAACGTTCAAAACTCAGTTTGGATCCTATTCCAGCAACTTTTCACGTATAAAATTAATTCTTTCCCAGCGTACTATCTGTACTTTTTATAAACCTCTGATGTATTTATTGTGTTGCAGTCTAATGCACTATTTGTTTACCCTATGGCCATTTGTTTCCCTACTGGATTGAGCTCCCTGAAAGGCAAGCCTATGATGTCTTTGTCAGAGTTGCTATCTAACACTCAACCCAGCTCTAGGAACTTAATAGCCCTGGATAAATATTCATTGAGTGGATAAATGAAAGGTCAAAAGAATAAACTGAGGAATGAGTTCCATTTTTTTTTTTTTCTCTTTTTTTGGTAGTGCTGGGGTTTGAACTCAGGGCTACATGCTTGCTAGGCAGTTGCTCTTACTACTCGAGCCACTCCACCAGCCTAAGGAACAAATGGATAGGTGAAAGGATGGTTGCATGGGATGTGGCAGATTGATGATTGCCATGTAGGCTGTGAAATAAAAATCTGATATGTGAAAACAGAATTATGTAAGTTTTACTTATCAAACTCATAATGTCCAAAGCAGCAATTGTTTATGTTGTCCTAGAATGATGCCAACTCTTAAGAAAGATCTGATTGATCATTCGCAAGTACTACTGTTAAGTTTAGTGTATGTATAAAATGCACATGTCAGAGAAACTATAAATTATAAGTACCATATGAAAATCAATATTTACAATAATTTCTCTTCTTTTTCATTTTCAAAAATTAAAACATCTTGCAGCTGCAGTAACTAGTCATTTTTAGTAGCAAAAGTATGTCACATACTATATTATTCAGAAAATTGGATATATCCCATTAAATTTTAGGGGGAAAAGTATATTTCACCAATCTAAGTACATTGAGCAATGATAGAAATCAGATTAAGTTTAATGTTGGAATAATAATCCAAATCTTATTCTTGATCCACTCTGTGACCATGGCTTCTTGTTTATGGGGGAGAAAATTCCTCCTCAGCCATGAAACCCCATGCTCTGTTGTAACTTTTATGTGGATATGCTCTGACACAAGGGAGCAGAAACACCCCTAATTCCAAAAGCCAAAAACTCTGGGCTTGAAATTTTGTTTTCTATATGCTTGTGGCAAATATTTTCCTAACCATTTTATTCCTTAACCATTTGTCCTATAAATATAAGGCTCTTTGATAGTTTTTATTTATTCTACAATGCAAAAACTTATACATTTTATAGCAGAAATATGAATTTTGGGGAATATGGTCCTCCCAGCCCCCACATGTATATTATATCTATAAGTTGCATGTAGCATTTTACCATTCCTAAAACAAATAAAAATATGAATTCAAAAACTGGAAGGTTTATGATAAGGGATTATGGACACTATGGGCCCATGTAGACAGAACAACAATTTTGGATATCATTCAGGTACAAGGGTATGTATGAAGCAGTGCATCTTAGGGACAAGCAAATATGATGAGACTCCCAATACCTTTTTTTAGTTGTATGCATTTGTCAGCATATCATTATCAGCTATTTCTAAATAGAGTTTGAGGGTTGGTTCTTCAGGTCAGACCTCTCGCTGGCTTATCTGTCACCATTGTTTGGCCCATAGCCTCAGTAATAAAGAAGAGAATAAGGAATATAAGATGTTACATAATTTGGTCATAGTGGGTGTGATGGGGCTCTCTCACAGCCTCTCCTCTCCTCTCCTGCCCTCTCTCTGTCTTGGTGGGGCGGTCAGGGCATTTGAGTTCTGTGTTATTTATCTTAATGAAAAGCAATTTTAGCATTGCCCCAGAAGTAACAGAAAATCATACTACTCAGTTTTCACAAAGGAGTTTATATCAGTATAACACAAATGCTTTGATGGGGATGAAGATAGCTGGATACATCACATGGTTTTCCTCAGCCTACTCTCAATACTGTGACATTCATCCTTCCCAACATTTGTTAAAAAAAAAAAAAAAAAAAAAAAGAACAGTGAAATGTTGTCTCACCTTGGGCAGAGTTTAGGCTTGTTACAGTTCATTTTCCCACCACCACCTTCCATAAATGAATCCTTGCTTACTTTCTGGAGATTCATTTCCCAATATATAGATAAATTCAAGTTTAGTTTATTGCCCTTTCAAGATCATGAAAATTACCTTAAGACAACACATTCCAGTCATGTTCCATGACTGTAGGAAAGATTTTACCACTAGCAACTTTTTTTTTAGTATTTCTAGAAGAAATACTATATTTAAACATAGTGTCTTTTCACTCACCTCCAACAAATACCTACATTACAGCATTTTCTGGGTTTGGAAATAAAGTAGCAATACTTACGTGGTAGTTGTTGTATAATTGCATTAAACAAACAGAATTTGCACAGCATGGTATGTTAATGAAATACTATGCAAGATTAGGGAAAACTACTTGCAAAGAACTGTGGATAGATGTGGTTTTAGTGAAAAAGTATCTTTTTTTCCAGTCTTCTCAAACTGTGTTAAACTGTTCAACAAAAACTGAACTTTTATTACATGTATTGATGTTAACATGCTATCAGTTCATGATGTGACTTGACAATAACATTAGTTCCCATAAATACTGATGGCACAGAACTGCATAAATTTTGAAATGGTAAGTCATACCCTAAAGGTAGGATAGGGCTAGAGGATATCCTGGAAGAGGGACCCTGCTCTATGAAGATTAAAGCAGGCATCCCAAAGTCACTAAGAAAAAATCAAATTAAAAAACCTAATTGTTTTCTTAGTAAAGAGGTGAGATGGGACATTAAAAGTAAAACTCACAGACAGCAGTAGACACCTCGCATTGAGCCAAGGTTAAATATAAACCAAGGCATCAAAATGACACTAACAAAGTGCCTTTTGTGATGATCTCTGTGCTCTTTGCTTTTTACAATAAATTCCTTGGGATCTGGAGGATAAGGGGGAAGGGCCCGGCATTTATTGAGTGCTTCCTAAGTGTCAGTCATTGTGCTGACAAGCCACTAAACCCTCAGAGTTGCCTGAAAGTTACATATTATTCTCCCGTTATATAGGAGATGAGGAGAAAGGTTTGACTAAGGTGACCCAGCTAATCAGTAGCAGACTCAGAATCAAACCAAAGTAAAACCCAGAGCCCTCTTTCCTGAGGAATGTGCTGCTTTCCCAAGAAAGAGACTTTCTTACTGCTTTAAAAAAAATACTACATCATCTTAGTATTTCAGTTGCTATAATGTGAAAGATAAAATTCTCCTGTCAGTCAGTGTTCTAATAGTAAAGTCTGGTGCATTAAGGAAGGTCTGCCTACAGCCTGGGGAATGTATTTGGGGAAGAAGAAACTGGCCTAGTACATCACCGTCCTCCAGCCTTCCATAGTGATTTCAGTCTGAAACACCAGAGACTTCCAGGCACCCTATCCCCAACACTGCCAACAAAATCAGACCACCTGCTGCTAACGCTGCTGACTTCCTCAGAGCAGTTACATATTTCAGTGTTCCTTAGGGCCCCAGGGTCTGTACCATTAGATCATTTAATAAGAATTGGGACGTGTTAAAAATAGCCCTCTCTGACTCTTCATGTCTGTTTATGTCACTGACACAAATAAGTTTTACAACTAATTGCACAACCAGTGGAATTTTAGATTAACTAGATTTCTTGTTTTAATGCAGCTAGGTCCTAGTGACAATAAAATATGTCTAGTAAGTACTAGTCATCATCGCTAGACTTTAAAAAATGTGTGGAAGATTACTACAAATGTCAGCATTTCTAAATATTTTTCCTTCGTTTTCTGCCTCACTGTGTGATTCATTTACATGATGAGTTCCCTCTGCAGAGGATCCTTTTTTTGTACATGATACAGATTATTCCATTTCAGGGTTTCAAAAAAGCTGGCAAGATACAGAGCTAACATAGCTTACAGCAACTTAACTACAGCTTTTACAGTGGGGGGAGGAACAGTATGGAAATCTTTCAAGTGAGTTAGTTCCAGTTATTAAAAGAAATTGTATAAACATTTGCTAGCATGCCTGTAGATTACTTATTTGCTCCTTGTATTATTAGGTTCTTTGATATCAAAGTAAAAAGTTTAATAAATCAGCCAATAGAGAAATGGCATGATTGGGAGGATTCAGGATGCTTATAAGTGCATTTGGAACTACTCAAATTCATCTGTTCAACAAATTATTTGCATTCCTACTGTGGGAGTACTATTCTACTGCAGTGGAGGGGATGGATGCAAGATTTCTCACATTGTGCTTTTAGAAGTTGCATAATTAATCATATGGATTTGTATCTATGGAGATTGGTCAAAATATTTACGGAAAAGTAAATATTTTCCTTGTTCTTTTATCTATTATAATTATTTTCTGGAAGCACTTTATGTTAAAGTGAAATTGGGACATGCTTTAACCCATATTTGAAGGGTATTGGAATTTTTCTAATTAAGTGTATAAAATTTCTTTCTATTATTTTTAGGATTTCTTTAACATTATTAAAAAATATTCTGCACCAAAATATGTGAAAGTGTGGAAAAGATATGGTAGCAGTTAAGGTATTTTTTAAACGCTAAAATGTCATGATAAGAATATACATAGTTAACCAAGGTTTTAGGGGCTAATAATGCTATTGGATAATTTGGGGGTTTTTTTAATTAATTGTGTTGAATAGCTTCTGTATTTCCATATGACTTAAATATCATGGAGTGGGGAGAGGGAGTGAAGAAATCTTACTTTGTACTGGATTATTACTAAAGACAAAACTCCCTTAACTCTGGGGAAGTTAACCTCAAAAGTGTCGGTATAAATACTTGAGATCTCATTTTCTATCTGAGAAAGTGGAGTAAAAAGAATCAGAAGGCTGAAGCGTTCTCAGGCCATCTTTGTAACTCTCCTTGGTGCTTCTGTGGGCACACTCAGGCTGCACTGAGTTGATAATTCATTTCACACTTCTGCACCTGCTCCACAGCCTCACCGAGAGGGCGCAACTGCTCAAGAATGTCTTTAAGAAGAACCATGTGAACTTGTACCGCTCTGAATCATTGCAACAAAACTTGCTCCGTAAGTATCTGAGTTTTTACTTCAAATAAATTCTCTTCTATTACTGAATCTTGTCATTTATCAGAGTATTATTTTGACTTGAGGCATATTTTAACTTTTTAGAATTAACACCAAAAGCAATTTTTGAATATCTCTAATGTGTTATATAAACAAATGGTTACAAGAATCCATTGGCCACAACCATCTCACTTTTAACAGAGCATTTTAAAATCTTACTGTTTCATTTAAAGAAAAACAATAATATTTCCACATTCTTTGCTTCCTTAAATCTTAAAAAGAATCAATACTATAAATCTTAACTCTTAAAAGCTGCCTCTGTTTTGTTATCTTTTTGACTTGAATAACTTTGCAAGAGCCTTTTCAGCCTTCATACAACTCAAGGAAACATATATTTTCCCCTTCAAAAATATTTATGAATATTTAGGCTTGTAAGAAATTATTAGGTACCTTGCCCTCTTAACATTTCAAGGATCTAAAAGAGAATATAGTATATAAAGCCCTGTAGTAAATTTATTTGTTAGTAATATATCTTTTATTTCATGTTATTTCTACATATAATTTATTTTCATCTATGTATATTCATGTTTAATGCTTTTACTTATTATACTTTGACCCTTTCCTAAAGATGTGAGCTCCTTACTGGTCATCTCTTACCCCACATCCCTTCCCACCACATTGGGACACCAGTGAGTTTATTTATAGATGCTGAGAACCAAGGAGAAGGTTGCCTAAGGGAAGCAGACCACTTCTCCATCATTAGCAGCTGTGTGTGTCCATCTTCTCAATTTTTTAATTGACAAACAATTGTGTATATTTATGGAGTACAATGTGATATTTTTATCTATGTGTTCATGGTGGAATGTTTCAGTCAAGCTAATTATGCGTCATTTTTCCATCCTCTCATCCACTTGGCCTATCTAGAAATATATGCATACACTTGACTAGACTCTTAACACCCTCCAGCAATGAGTAAGCAAATCTTAGGGGGAGGGATGGACTGGACTTGAGATTTGGAACAGAAGATTGAGCAGTATTTGAGGGCTCCTGCCCAGTCCAGTGGGGAGCAGAATCCATAAAATCCACACTGGCTATACAGCCCTCCCACTCTCCATTTTGGTACTGTTCATGTCTTTTCCGGATGTTAAAACTTGGTGTCTCATGCTTTTGAAGGTGGGAAGCATACATTACTTTCCCAAGTTAAACAATGACTACTCAAAACTCAGAATAAAGTGATTTCCAGCAAATGCACAATGGTGATTTCTGTTTTGTCATTAACTTACAGATGGGTATGCTTTCTCTCAAGATGAAAATGGAATTGTTTCACAGTCTGAGGTGATTAGAGCATATGATACCACAAAACAGAGGCCTGATGAGTGGTGATGGGAGGGGCTGAGAAGCAGACCCTCCTGTGTCTCTAAAGAGAACTACCACAATCTAAGGTTGTCACCGCAATCTGCTGACCAATTCCAGTCTGGTCATGGGGAAGAAGGATGGATCTGAGCTCCCCTCACTGATGGACCTTCAGATTCACATACATCATCCACATAGGCACTGTGCAACAACTGTAAAACCATCTTTCAGATTTCTTAAAGTATTTGCTAAGGCTTTGAAAACAGAAATTGAGATAACCTTGTATCTTCCCAGTATGCTTTCTGAAAGGTTCTTAAGATGTCAATCTGGGGTCTATCAATTCATTGGCAACCAACCATTAAAAAAATTCTAAAATGGTGTTAAGTTAAAGGGACTCTTGATATCCAGACTTAGATTTCAGGATATGCTGAAATAAACCAGCATCTCAAGGAACTGACTCACTTACTGAGCATTTCTAAACAAGGCATTAATAAGTGTTCGTGTCAAAAATTGTCTTGCTAAGTGTTTGCCAAAGAAATTCAGTAAGTATATTTCTCATTCAGTAGTCATTTGCCCAGAAATTTAAGGGAACGTATACTTCCAGTTCTGCTGTAAGATCTGCATGCTTGACTTTTCAAATGTGAGAGTGATTTGCAAAAATGAGTATTTCAAGGCATTTGCTACTAAAATATGTGATGTTGCACCTTCAGCCTTACAAGTGCTTCTTTGTTGTTTGTCATGTTTCTTTGTTCAAGTTTGAGGCACATATATTAATGTGACTGTTCTTACAATACTGCTTTTTTTTAAGTTGTATTTATGTCTTAGTCATTTCTGGTAACATTTCATCATCCTTTAGATTTTTCCAAAAATCTGGCTTCTGCTGTAGTTTGAGTGGTGTCATTCTGTCTTAAAGTTACCCTTCTCAAGAAAATTATGCTTGCATATTTATTTCCAAAGTTTATGTTTCCATGTTTAGGATAACATGTCAGATAAGTGCATGGGCTTGTGTTGTGTACGTAGGTTTGTTTTATAGGTGTTCTGATTTTCACTCTTTGTTTCCACTGGAGATGACTTATGTAGCATACTCAGTGTTATGGTGACTGTCCAGACACTTGAAACCAAGAATTATTTCACAGCTCACTGGTCCCACAGTTCCCAAAATTAGCTACATGATGATTATTGACAAATAAGTAATACACTTTCCCAATTTTAACAATACCTATTGTATTCAAGCTTGTAACTTTATGGTCAAAGAACACTTTTCATCATGAGTAGGGCTCGTTAATGTGCTTTAAAATGTACAATCAGTTTAATTATTTTCAGTGTTTCCATGACATCTCCTGAAAATGCCTATTTTGCTGCCAAGAATAAGTGGTGAAGGGGCTGTTTAAAAACCACAACCAGTTTTCTACACTATTTTTAAAACAATGCTTTCATTTAAGGAGAAAAAAAGGAATTCTAGGTTTCAGATATACTTCAGAGAGTGAAGCAAACTTTTTTGCCTTTTATTCAAAAGCCTGTTTGCCTTTAAGTGGACTTACCAGCAAAGTAGATAGAACTTTAAAAAAACAGAATTGAAAAGAGGTGATTTCTCAAATTGCCCTGAGTTGAGTTTAATCATTTCATTTTCTTTTCCCCGTTTCTCAATCTAGATTTAAAATCAGAATATGTGTATTTTCCTTCTCTTTGTATATAGCTAGTTACGCATATGTCTCCACATTTTCTAGAAATAAGCAATTGTCACACGTGTGCATAATTCTAAAGTGAAGTAAAAGTTTATGTACTTCACTTCTCAGACCCTTCCCAACTGGGATTCTGATTAAGAGAATCATGAATCAAAACATCTAGCAAAGCCACAGATATCCAGTCTAAGATTTAAAGTCATAGACTTTAAATCTGTGGAATAGATCCCCAGAGTAGCCTTTCCAGGGCCTCCCAGCAGTGATAGTTGAGGTCAGACCACAAAAATCATCAAGATTGAAGTGCATCCTCCAAAAAAAAACACTTCACAGCAGTCGCAGAGAAGAGATGCTTCTGTTTGCCCTGACTTCATCAGGGCCATCATTCTCAAAAATTTCAATATCAAAACATTATGGATATAATAGAACTGAATTTTCTGACTTAAATAACAAAAATTAAAGGTTTATTTTTATCTTGAAACATGGTTTGTTTTGGTAGAGATCTTTAACATGAGAATATTTGTGGTTAATCAATGTATGACATCATAATCTGAAATGTAACCTGTTTTTTTGTTGTTGTTGTTCCATGGTCCTGTTTTTGAATTATTGACATTAAATCCATCTCTTTTCTTCTTGGGTGGGGATAGCAGGTAGGGGTCAGAGAGTGACCACTTGGGCAAAACTTGAAATATAGCATTGCAATTGCAGTGACTTTATAGAAATTAGAAAAAATACTCTGAGTTTTTAACCTTCTTGAATTGGAAAAAAGACACATGGTTTTACCAGGATTCAAATAACCAGTTGAAGTGACTTTCAACATGTATTTTCTGAAACAAATGACACATACTCTTCAATTAAAAAGTCCCTTGTAGGGACTCTGGCAAATGCTAACATGGTTGCTTTACAGTGTTTACAATTCAGAAAATACTACTTCACAGTCAAAAGTCCTCATTCCTCTAGCAGTGAAAGCTGGGAGTTGCTTCTTTAATGTTGGAATAGTACACCATAGTATTGAGCGTGGACTTTATAAATGTTTTGTATATGCATATAAAATATATTGGTGTCTCACACCCAGAAAGATGCTATATGGTAGAATTTATGAGCAGGAAAACGGTGTTTCTCAGGAACGTAGTAGATGTAAAATGTAAAAAGTGTGCTTCTGACCCTCCCGCCTCCATTCAGTACTCTTGAGTGAGACTGCCTCAGCAGTGTTGTGAACTTTTTGGAAACTTTCTCATTGAGGTGGCGGAATGTGTCTTCTGCTAAATAAGACTACCCATTCACAGAAAGTATGTGGTCATTAAAATAGAACCAATGATTGCCCTTAATTTCCAGGTGGAGGAAACGTAGAAAACAATCAGCATTTCTTCTGATCATTAAATTTTGTATTTTAACTTTTCAATTCAGTATTCCATATATCCATTAAGAAAGTAACATGATAATTTGTTCTACATTGTGTGCACTGTGTGACACTTATAACCTGTCATTTAAAATGTTCTTTTAGAAAATGAATGCTAGTCAGAAAGTAATCGATTCTATACTCATGATTTTTAAATTATTTTAACAGTGTCATAAGTATTATAAAGGTAAAAATCACTTGGGTTTATTTTCATGCATTTGAGTTCCTGGTCTTAAAACTTCATGAAATAAATTTTTAATCTTACAAATAGCCATTTACAAAATTTATCAAAAGGACCAGCCTGTTCACCTCACAATGAACAGGGCTGTGGAATTCTTTTTGTAAATTATTTATGGTGACATCATGCAGTTCAGTGCCTAATCAATGGTTTTTAATGATAACATTTCTGTAATGGCTCTTACAAACACCATAGTCTGATTTTTCTCACATTAAAATAACTGAAGCCATTTGTGAAACTTAGCTACATTTTGCTGCATTTTAATTAACCTTCAACAGCTATTAAAGTGGAATGTAAGCTCAATTTTGAAGGAAAGGAAATAAATGTTTTCCATTTTTCATCTTGATTTATTTTCTGTATGAGAACAGCTGTGTTTTTGATAGGTTTATGGTTTGCATGAATTAATATTTAAAGTGATCCTAGCCAGTGCATGGCTATTGCTATAAATCGTGATGTTTATTTCTGCCTTATAAAATTTTATCATGGTCTACCTGGAATTTAATAATCAGTGGACAAATTAATTGGTCCTCCACACAACTTTTGTTTTATAAGTAAATTATTTTACAAACATTTGAACAAATTTAATTGAATCTTTTGTTTAGCTTGCCTGTAAGAACTTTTCTTAATAAAACTCATGAAAACTCAGCAAATAAATCTTCCTGAAGTAGGAAAAAAAGCTAAATTTCTTATTTGCTTACTTTGAATTAACAGCAAGTTTCCATAGGTAAGTGTGCTCTTACAAAGACGTGAGCAGAAGATTTTTTAAGAATATTTTTATGTTTCATGGTTCCAGAATAGAAGCCATACGTGCAGTAAACACTGTTTGTCATGTAACCTCTTCAAGCTTCATTTTTCACATTTTCAAGTTTATTAGGTTAAAAATAAAAAGGCAACCTTGGAAGGCAGCTATGGAAAACTACAGTTTGTATTAAAAATAAAATAATATTTCAGCTCCATGAAAAGCCATTCCCACTGAGACTGCTGTAGAAATTGTGAAGCTGCATGAGTGGAGAGTCTTCTCAGGTTTGTCCATCTTGACGTTCGATGCACTGTGTTTTATAAATAGTTATTGAGGTTCAGTAATACTCATTTCTATGCAGTGTCATATGTCATTGGCCTTTTGTGGATGTGCATGTTTTAAACTGCGAATTTTAAACATTTTGTCCTCTAATTGTTACTAAAAATAAAATAAACTTTACCATTATATAAAGGAAATTGTTGAAGTTTTGATTGCTAGTTTGAGAGATTGTATTGCTTTAGGCTAGGCTTGGTGGCTAATGTCTCTAATCCCAGCTACAAGAGAGGCAGAGACCAGAAGGATCACCACTCCAGGCCTTGGCTAAAAGTTAGTGAGACCACATCTCAATAAGCTGAATGTAGTGGTGCATGCCTGTGATCCCAGCTATGCAAGAGGCATGGGTAGGAGAATCACAGTCTGAGGACTGTCTCAGGCAAAATCTCAAGACCCTACCTGAAAAATAACTAAACAGGGCTGGGGCAAAGCTCAAGTGGTAGAGCGCCTGCCTAGCACCTGGAAGGCCTTGAGTTTAAACCCCAGTGCCATGAAAACAAGGAAATTATACTGCTTTATAAATCCTTCAAATCCACAATACTACAGTCTATAGCTTTTTAACATATTTTGTTTACTACTCTGGTGATATACAGAATTTCCCTTTATTTTAATCCATATATGAAAAGTAAAATGGAATATGTTAACTCTAATTTCATGAGACAATTGAGTAACAATTAATTTCAATTAATTTCTTATGACAAGTAACAAGATTTTTTCTTGTAAAATTACTGTTTTGTTTTGGTTTGTTTTTTGTAAAATTTCTGTATTTTTTTTCCCAGTACTGGGTTTGAACTTGGAGCCTCACACTTGCTAGGCAGGTGCTCTACCTCTTGAGCCAAGTCCCCAGTAAATTACTGTATTTTTACTCTTCATGGCATGTTTAAATCAGCTAGCAAGTAAACAGCTAATTCATGTCTCCACACAGTTTTGTGTGTGTATGTGTGGTATTGGAGTTTGAACTCGGGGCCTACACCTTAAGCCACTCCAGTAGCCCTTTTTTGTGAAGAATTTTTTGAGATAGAGTATTATGAACTATTTTCCCTGTCTGGCTTTGAACCTCAATCCTGCTGATCTCTGCCTTCTGAGTAGCTAGGATTACAGGCATGAGCCACTGGCACCAGCTCCATCCTTTTTTTTTTTTTTTTTTTTTGTGATACTGAGGCTTGAACTCAGGGCCTTCACCTTGAGCCACTCCACCAGCCCAACTTTTTGTGATAGGGTTTTTTTTGAGATTGGGTCTTGTGAACTGTTTGCCCAGGCTGGCTTCAAACTACAATCCTCCTGATCTCTGCCTCCCAAGTAGCTAGGATTACAGGCGTGAGCTGCTGGTGCCCATCTCAGTTCCATCCTTTTATGATGAATGAATTTCTTAAGTTTTTTAAGCCCACCATTAAAACAAAATGAGAAGATGGCTAAATTTAGCCAATAACCTTTTCTTTTATAATTTTTTTATTGTTTTATCATTCATATGTGCATACAATGCTTGGGTCATTTCTCCCCCCTGCCTCCACCCCCCTCCCTTACCACCCACTCCACCCCCTCCCTCTCCCCCCCACCCCTCAATACCTGGCAGAAACTATTTTGCCCTTATCTCTAATTTTGTTGAAGAGAGAGTATAAGCAATAATAGGAAGGAACAAGGGTTTTTGCTGGTTGAGATAAGGATAGCTATACAGGGCTTTGACTCACATTGATTTCCTGTGCGTGGGTGTTACCTTCTAGGTTAATTCTTTTTGATCTAACCTTTTCTCTAGTTCTTGGTCCCCTTTTCCTATTGGCCTCAGTTGCTTTTAAGGTATCTGCTTTAGTTTCTCTGCATTAAGGGCAACAAATGCTAGCTAATTTTTTAGGTGTCTTACCTATCCTCCCACCTTCCTTGTGTGCTCTCGCTTTTATCATGTGCTCAAAGTCCAATCCCCTTGTTGTGTTTGTCCTTGATCTAATGTCCACATATGAGGGAGAACATACGATTTTTGGTCTTTTGTAGCCAATAACCTTTGAAGAAAGTAACCATTAAAAAAATTGAACACATGGACCAAAAGCACAGGGAAACACCAGGAATGAGAACATTCACTTTATCAAAAGTAAGCACCCACTAGATGCAGGCGGATCTCACCTGTTATCCTAGCTACTTGTGAGGCTGAAACCAGAAGGATCACAGTTGGAGGCCAGCCTGGGCAAATAATTCAGAAGATCCCATCTTCAAAATAAGCAGAGCAAAGTGGACTGGAGGTGTGGCTCAATTAGAGCACCTGCTTTGCAAGCATGAAGCCCTGAGTTCAAACCCAGTCCCACCAGAAAAAAAAAACCTTTTGATAAAAATGAAGCCAATAAAGGTACAATTCAATAACTTACTAGAATAGGATTAGTTCAGAGGAAAGCCTTGGAGGAGCTATGTGAGAAACCTCTGATTTTGTTAGACTGGGGCCATGTGTCTTAGCTGTCTGGAGTCCTTGTCCTCTCCTTCAGTCTTCCCAGTGAGAACTGATTGTGAGTCTCTGTACAAACCACAGTAAAACAATTTATGAGAAGTGACCTGTGTCACTCACTGCTTGTTCCCCTCAAAACAAGTTCTGTGTTTATCTTGACCCATTAATTTAAGGTGCCTTCTACTACTACCATAAGGAAATACCAAACTTTAAATGGATTCAATGTGTAAATTCAATACATCACCGCTGGTTTAAAGTTTGGTTTTGTATGCTTACAGCTAAAGCTTCTGTCTCAGTAACACAGCCACCTTGCTTTAATGAAGAAAGGGCTTCCAAACCTGAATAATTTCACAAGCAAGCTAATAAAAATTGTTGGAAAATATGAAGTACTTTGTAACTTTCAGTCTTTTACTTGCAAGTACAAACTACATAACTAGCAATTCAAAGAATTCGCTGTCAAAATAATTTCATAAATTATTTTGAAATGATTTATAAATAAATTCATTAAAAGTGAATATTTAATTGCAGTTTTTAAACAGCCATGTACGTATAAAAATATGTTAACAGTTTGTTCTCTTCATAGTCAAACATGCCTATAAGTTCTTAGTTTTCCTGAACATATGCTAAATAAACTTTAGATGATGCAAAACTGAACTGATCCCAACCCAATGTAAATATATCAGATTCCTAGTTGTGACTATATATGCTTCAGGAAGTTTCATGATTATCTCATTTTAGAGAGAAAATTTGCTACAGATTCAAATCAATCTGATAATTTCTCCCCCATGAAATGTAGTTGATAGCGTCAACAATGAATAAACGGGGGAAAAGAGACTCAATAATCTGTCCATTTAGAAAGGAATATAATCTGTTCGCTTTGGAATGAGCAATAAATTTTAAAGCAAATTTACTATGTTAAATACACTTTCTGACTGGGCACTGGTGGCTCACGCCTGTAATCCTAGCTACTCAGGAGGCAGAGATCAAGAGGATCACTGTGCAAAGTCAGTCCAGGCAAATAGTTCACAAGACTCTTATCTCAAAAAACCCGTCACAAAAAAGAGCTGGTGGAGTGGCTCAAGGTGAAGGCCCTGAGTTCAAGCCCCAGTCAGTACCGCAAAAAATAAATAAATACGTTTTTTTTTTAAACATACATAAAATGAATTTACAGACTAACTCTTGAATGTTCCCCAAAGACTGTTGTGTTAAAGGCTTGGTCCCAGCATAATTGGGAAGTAGTGGACCCTTCAGGAGATGGGGCCTAAGGACAGTTCTTTAGGTCACTGGGGCCATGCCTTAAAAGGAGTTTGGAGGACTCTGACCCTTCCTCATTCTTGCTCTGTTCTCTAAGTCATGATATAAGCTGTTTTTCCCCCACCAAATGTCCCTGCCATGACGTGCTGCCTCACCATAGGCCCCAAAGCAGCAGGGCCAATCAATCATGGACTGGAACCTCCAAACCACCTTTTTATAACTTCTATCTCAGACTTTTGTTATAGTGATGAAAAACTAACAGGTCACAAGTACCAACATGATGGGAAGACACCGTTCCCCCAGGCAATAACAGGAATTGGCCAGGTTTCCAAGGAGGCTATAGGTTTTTAAGAACTAATGCTATCAAACTGTGGAACCCTGTTCTCTGCTCCCTTCTCCAGTCAACAACATCTGCCATCCCACAATACTTAACCTTTCATTTTTATTCTAGAACATCTCTCTCAGGGGTTTTCTGTGATTTATTGTGAACTTACTACACAGCTTCCTCCACACCAGAATGTAAATGATTAGAGATAGTGACTCTTCTTATCAAGACAGCTCTAAGCAGTAAAATACTGTTAATATCTCCATTTTACAAATAAGAAAACAAACATGGTAAAGTAAGTGCTCCAAAGTCATTCCTCTTTCAAGTGACAGAGTCAGAAAACTACCCCAGGCACTATGGCTCAATATCCATGCTAAATCACTCTCTGCTGTCTAACAGTTAAAGGAAGAAATGTTTATCATCCAGTATTTCTTTTCATGCTTTGTTTTAGTTCATGTTTTCTTAATGTAGCACAAACCAATTCTCCATTATGACCCCCTAATATCTATAGGATATGTATGAGATTAAGTCATTAATCACTTTTGCTGGGATGGATTTTCTGATGAGTAGGTTGAATTATTTTTTCTGAGAAAATCAGGCCTTTTAGGCCTAATGTCATAAACAATAAAGAGCTGCAAAGCAGACCCCCAGGTCCCAGTCCTGGCTCTACCATTATTGTCTGTTGTCCTGGAACGTGGTATTTAACCTTTCTGCATTGCTTCCTTCATCTACAAAACAGGCATGATAACCATCCCTCCTTCAGAGTAGAGATTGACCAAAGATTAAGTGGTATCATTCATAAAGCATGGGGGGGACACAGTGCTTAATAACTGTTATCCAATTATTGGCATAACTGCCATTCAAAACATACAATTCTGTTTTTTACAATAATCATACTTTGATGGTGCTAGGACTCAAATTCCTTGTGAAAGGAGTAAAATCTTGAATCAGACACATTTCCACCATATTTTGTTGTTGTGGAAACATGTCCTTGGAAATTTTTAAATGACTTGATTTGACCCTGCTAATTTTCCTAACATAAAGATGTGATCAAGTCACTGACTCATAAAATCCTTCAAGGCTCCCTCTTGCACTTGGTATATATACAACCACCTTGGTGTTCAAGATCTCCAGTCTGCCTTTGTTTATCTCTCTGCCCTCACACTTTCTCTTTTCTTTGTCTAGTTTTCAGAATGTTTCCAGTTCTTCACCTCCTGGTTGTTTCCTGCC